GCCGCCTTGTTGTTCTTCTGGTATGTCGTCCCCCCCGCGCTGACCCAGAATGGCTCATTCGTTCCTTTAGCCAATATAACCTCGGGAATCCAGTGCTGATCCTCCGCCGTCATGTTCATGAATGGCGCTCCCCCTCTTCTCATCTCCGAATCTAAATACCCCTGCACCCTCTTCACCTGCTCCCTCATCCCGGCCATCGTGCGTATATTCCCCTCAGGGTCCAGAAACATGCCAAATAGGCCATTCTTCATCAGCGACTCGTCGTCCCGTGCCAGAAATGCCTTCGCCTCAGCTCGTGTGACATGAATCAGCCTCGCCAATGCCCGAGGAACGTTCCACCTCAGTAACTCCTGCACGCCCTCAAGAAATCTGCTATTTGTCAGCATGAATGCCATCACCTGTATGTCCATGCATCAGAATCACATTCAAATGCAGCTTCAGACTTCCACTCATACTCACTTTCTCCCATGTATCTGATACCCAATTCTTCGAGTTTCCAAGCACCGTTCTCAGTGAGTGCCAAGCTGTATCATATCCATGCTTCTGCTGCCCTTGAATGTAAGGCAGCATCGGTTCAATCATCAGCCCAACCTGTAACCAATCATCTCCTCATTAGCGATCAACTCCACCAAGCACAATCACATATGTCATCTCGCAACCAAATCTGTGCGCGGAGTTCATCTCTCACTTCCCTACATCCTGTCTCATGATCCCAAGTGCTGACAAACTCCGCATGCGGATTTCGTTCATCTCCTCTCACATGTGGCTCATCGCGCAGTCGTCGACAAAGTCCGCATGCAGATTTTGCCTCATCCATACACTTCAAAATCCGCATGCGGATTTCACTTCGAACCCTTTCAATGCATCATAGCACTCACCAATTGAATCGCTTCACTCGCTTCTGAGAACTCTTCCACAGATCGCATCATGTACCCCGTCGTCAGCAGCTCCGTCGCTGGATACACTTGCCCTTCATGCCACTGAAGCCGTGCAAGCCTGCTCGAACACTCCGCCTCATCAACCCCCCCTCCTTCTACCCACCTCTTCCTCATAATCCCCCGAACCTCATCCCAATACTCTTTCCGAGCCTTCATCCAGCTCTCATACCTCGCAAGCCCTCCCTCCTTCCTCAACTCGAAGATCTCCCACCACGTCTTGTCAATCTCTTCCAGAGCCAACCCATCGTATCTTGATGCATCAATCTTTGTCGTGCCCCAATCCCTCCGGATCTCTTCTCCCACCTCCCCAATATCAATCACCCGCATACGGGTCTCCAGATCCAACTCTTCTCCTTCCAACAGCCCTTTCTTTCGCCTTGAGATCTCCTCCCATTCCCTCAACACATCCCGAACCCTTTCCTCTCTACCCATAAATCCCACTCGACACAGGTCCTCCAGCTCCTTCACTGCCGTTCTCACCATATGCAGTATCACCTGCAACAATGTCATGCCTGGTCAGCACTCTCTCTTTTCTTTTTCCTATCGCAATCACTTACCCCACCCCACATCGTCTTCACATCGTACTCCTCCATCCCTCCCATCCATATTCCTCCACTCCAGAAATACTCAAACTCCAACAATCGCGACATCACCTCTATCCATTCCTCATCCTTCAACACCTCCCTCCACTTCTTCTCCTTCACCCATGCCACCTTCTTTACGCCCTCATTCCATTTCGAGCTTCCTGCCTCAACTCCCAAATCTTTCAACTCCTTCGACTTCTCAATCACCTTCCTGAATGCACGCGTCATTCGCTCCCCACTCATTTCCTCCACCCTCTCCCTCCGATCTTTCCGTCCCAAATACTCTCCAAGCCCCACCCGCCCTTCAACCTTCCCTGCAGAATCAAATCCCATTTTCGTTAGCTCTCTCTCCCTCCACAGAACTCCCCGAATACTCACTTTCGTCAAACACCTCCACCACCCATGTCCCGTACTTCCCAACCGTCATCTCAATCTCCCTCACTCTCTTCTCTGCCCTATCGTACTCCTCGTCATACTCTCACTTTCCCTCTCCATACTCACCCATCACCTCTTCCAGCCGTTCCGCTTCACCACACAGTTCATCGTCCCACTTCGCCCAAGCCATTCCGTATTCTTTTCCATTCACTACCCACATCTTTCCCCCAATCCTCCCCTCCCCACCCTTCCCTTCCACATACTTCAGCTTTCCAACATCCACAACTTCATTCCTCAGACATCCCTCCTTCAACTCCTCCGCATACACCCCAATCGCAATTCGGTTCTTCACGTACTCCGCCCCCATTCCTTCTCGCAAGCTTCTCGCCAACTCCTCAACCCGCTCCGAATCAACTCGCCCCTCACCAATCTCCTCAACCTCAAAATATACCCTCTTCTTCTGGACCTCTGATGAAACTCCCCGCCGAGACACCATCCGATCCCCCGATCCCACAACAACTGCCAATCCGTATCCCAGGAATCCCTCCACTGCCGCACTGTGCATCACTACCGCTTTCATCATCTCCTCACTCACTCTCCCGTACTCAACCCCCTGCAGCATTATCACAATCAGTCTCCTCTCACCCACTGCTTTCTTTACGCACCTCTCCTGTACTCTTCACTCCTCTCTGCCGTCTCTTCCTTATCTTCTCCACCATCTTTCGAGCATCAACCACTTCTGGCGTCCCTGCTATCTGTCCGCCGTCTATCTCTGCCTGCATCCATTCTCATCAATCAGCCCCAGCTCTCCAATCAATCACACAAATCCTCATCTACTTACCTCTCCTGACTCCATCATCTCTCTGCTCACACTCTCCACTATCTCTTCTCTAATCTCTTCCATCTGTCCTCACCGTTCCTATCAGTACTCATTCTATCCACTGAAATCTCTATCGACATACCTCTTTTCGGCCTCTCCTCGCTTTCATCTTCCCTTTACTACTCCGCCTCCTGCTCTTCGCTTTGCCTGTGTTTCGTTTGCCTGACATCTCCTATCGGTCAAGATCAGTGAAGGTCAGTTCAACAGTTCCTCACCACGTCCAACTTCACCATCTCCATCCTTCGCCCACATCGCCATCAATGTAACCCTAACCACATTCGGCCTCTACGGATATAATGCAATACCAAAGAATATATATATATCTCTATCCATTCTGTCCTATACATAATACAGTATATATGAGCAAATATAACACTCTTTAACCATCTCTCGGTGACCCACGCTATCTACTGCTGGTGAGACACAGATATTCACAATTATGTCAAGACTGCCACCAATCAACTACCACATCTGACAACCTCCAATGTTCGTTCCATCATCACTTATCAATTCAATAAAATCCGTGTGCAGATTTGGCCTTGAGAGATGAATTCCGCATACGGATTTGGTATGGAGAGATGAATTCCGCGCATGGATTGCGTCTATAATAATATTACTTGTATCCGCATCAACATAATCTGCACACGGATTGTGTCAACACCTCGTACATGCATCATTTCAATTTTCACCAATTGACATTCTCAATTTAATGCATGGCTTCCATCAATTCAATCACTCCATCGACATTGCTCTTACCAGAGTCCATACTCATATCTTATCTGTACTTTGACCCATACACTCAACAAAATCCGCATGCGTACTTCACATCAACCTCTTCTCCCATCCTGCATACTTGTCCAATTTCGTATCTCTGCTTCATCTTACCATATATCTCATCATCATCTTCCCACTTCAACAAAATCCGCATGCGTACTTTGTAACTACTCAACTCCTTTATCCTCTATATCAACCAGGTTAGGCTTTCCCTCCACAGACGCTCGTCCACTTCGCCCTAATCCCTGACGGCTTCCTAACCCTGATTCTAATACATTTTTCTGTATAAATCTCTTCCATCTGTCCTCACCGTTCCTATCAGTACTCATTCTATCCACTGAAATCTCTATCCGACATACCTCTTTTCGGCCTCTCCTCGCTTTCATCTTCCCTTTACTACTCCGCCTCCTGCTCTTCGCTTTGCCTGTGTTTCGTTTGCCTGACATCTCCTATTGGTCAAGATCAGTGAAGGTCAGTTCAACAGTTCCTCACCACGTCCAACTTCACCATCTCCATCCTTCGCCCACATCGCCATCAATGTAACCCTAACCACATTCAGCCTCTACGGGTATAATGCAATACCAAAGAATATATATATATATCTCTATCCATTCTGTCCTATACATAATACAGTATATATGAGCAAATATAACACTCTTTAACTATCTCTCGGTGACCCTATCTATGTACACGCTATCTACTGCTGGTGAGACACAGATATTCACAATTATGTCAAGACTGCCACCAATCAACTACCACATCTGACAACCTCCAATGTTCGTTCCATCATCACTTATCAATTGAATAAAATCTGTGTGCAGATTTGGCCTTGAGAGATGAATTCCGCATGCGGATTTGGTATGGAGAGATGAATTCCGCATGCGGATTTGGTATGGAGAGATGAATTCCGTGCACGGATTGCGTCTATAATAATATTACTTGTATCTGCATCAACATAATCCGCACACGGATTGTGTCAACACCTCGTACATGCATCATTTCAATTTTCACCAATTGACATTCTCAATTTAATGCATGGCTTCCATCAATTCAATCACTCCATCGACATTGCTCTTACCAGAGTCCATACTCATATCTTATCTGTACTTTGACCCATACACTCAACAAAATCCGCATGCGTACTTCACATCAACCTCTTCTCCCATCCTGCATACTTGTCCAATTTCGTATCTCTGCTTCATCTTACCATATATCTCATCATCATCTTCCCACTTCAACAAAATCCGCATGCGTACTTTGTAACTACTCAACTCCTTTATCCTCTATATCAACCAGGTTAGGCTTTCCCTCCACAGATGCTCGTCCACTTCGCCCTAATCCCTGACGGCTTCCTAACCCTGATTCTAATACATTTTTCTGTATAAATCAATATAATCTGCACACGGATTGTGTCAATACCTCGTACATGCATCATTTCAATTTTCACCAATTGACATTCTCAATTTAATGCATGGCTTCCATCAATTCAATCACTCCATTGACATTAGTCTTACCAGAGTCCATACTCATATCTTATCTGTACTTTGACCCATACACTCAACAAAATCTGCATGCATACTTCACATCAACCTCTTCTCCCATCCTGCATACTTGTCCAATTTCGTATCTCTGCTTCATCTTACCATATATCTCATCATCATCTCCCCACTTCAACAAAATCCGCATGCGTACTTCGTAACTACTCAACTCCTTTATCCTCTATATCAACCAGGTTAGGCTTTCCCTCCACAGACGCTCGTCCACTTCGCCCTGATCCCTGACGGCTTCCTAACCCTGATTCTAATACATTTTTCTGTATAAATGAACAGATTGACGTTCGTTCACTTCACTGTAGAAGTTCCGTTCTGTGTGGTCCTCACACAGGGAATCTGTCTTCCGGAATAGATATTGACGAGATACTTTCAGTTACCTATAACGTATGCATTGTGTTCGATGTGCGGATAGGAATAGCTAGTTAGATATGAATCATCACTCCCGCTCTCTGTTCCTGTTACAAAGCGAGTGAGCGTCACGAAAACACGGAACGGATCATTACAAGGTATAATGACTGAATCGACGGAATGTCGTGACGGCGGTATACGGTACATCAGGCGAAAGAATCAGGTTCGTTCTCCCTCGCCTCTGCGATGGCACACCGGACAACCTTGATCGATCCTCGCGCGTATCATCGATGTCCTACAGCGATGTCTTAATTTACACACATAGAGACTGAGTGACGATCACTCACAGTGCAATTCTTGCGCTCGTATTTGGACGCGTCGTAACTAGACTGTCGTCATTGGGAAGGAGTGGCCGATCAGACTTGCTGGCACATCTCGCATGGACAATATGTCGGCATAGATAGAGGAGAATCAAACTCTGAGGCATCTGCACAAGTGGCAGGGAGCAAATCGGACACGATGTTTTACCTGAGAAGCATGATCAACGTGAGCGCGGAACTTGACCATCGAGTAGTATACATACCATTCAGCGAGAATCCTGAACTCTGGCCACGGTATAGTGTGCTAGCCAAGTCGACACAATCACCATTTAGTACAGTTTGACAGCCTTCAAGGAGAGACATTTGGAGATTGAAGTCGTGCAAGATCTTGATGAGAGCTCCCTTAAGCCCGGGAATCTCCAAGCCGTTCTTGATACGACGAATGAGGCGAATAGGGTCAATTTCTGCGCCAACATTCTCCAGAAGACCGCGAATGAACGCTGAGAGTTAATATGAGTCAGCACTCGTAATATGGAAATTCTCATTCTAACATACTCGGTCTGGATTCCGAATATCGCAGAAGGTCTTCCCACAAATCGTCGTCATGTTGTTCCTTCGCAAAGTCGATAGCCTATAACACGCCATGAGCCAAATCAAACGTCACAAGGATGACACAACGCACGCGGTTGACGTCTCCCAGTCGTTCGATGATGAGGGTGAGAGCTTGCCGATTGTTACCCATGCGACCCAGAAGGAAGACCATCTCAGGCACTAGGTCGCGCTCGTTGCATATTCGATAGGCCTACGATTAAAGGTGAGAGATGCAGATAACCAGAAGAACGGAAGTCGAACCATTTCCAGATTGTAATAGTTACTCGCACGCAGGAAGTCGATGAGACGAAGAGGAGCATACTCCGCATATAGCGTAACCTTGACCAATGAATGATTCAGCATTCGTAATGACTAAAGGTGACAGACTGACTAACCTGCTTATCCGCAAAGTCCGATGTGAGATGGGAATCTTTCATGAAGAGAGCATCCAGGTAGAGGTAGAGATAGTATGGGCGAGATTCCAGCTGCTGAACAACACGGCCGATCTACAAGGGCTCTGAGCGAATGAAAACCTTCGTAGAAAAGTTCGATACTTACTGGTATAGAATGGATATGGTCGACAAACAACTTGATCACGGTGCTTTCTTCAGGTTCTGCACCCTCCTTGCGACGTTTCTCCATGAGCTCATGATCAAAATCGACAAGGAGCGTGACCTGATCCTGAACAGAGGTGAAAAGGTTGTTCTCACGAATGAGATCGAAGACATTAGGCCGACGAAGCCTAATAAAGTAAGGAAGAGCTTTGCCAGGTTGGCGATTCATGGTATATCTGCGGAATTGTTAGCAAGCTGTGGCAGTACGTTGAGGAATGCAGCTTACAACTCGGCCAAACATTCCATGAGGATGGCGGTATCTGGTGAAGTCGAAGTCATAGCGGACGATGAAGGAGCTCGATCCAGTTCAGCCTGAACCGCGACAATGATAACGGAGATATCGTAGATCCCTTTGGGCCAGTCCCTGATCGTATTCAGCAACGTCTGTCAAGCAAACAGTCAGAGAAAGTACCAGGAAGGCTGGACGCTAGAACCCACCTGTCGGTCATGAGCAAGGAAATAGGCCAGAATCATCTCGTAGACAAGATGACCTAATGTAGGAGACTCGGTAGGAACGAATGGAATGATAGCCTACAAGAGTGGTCAGTGTCACTGAACAGATATCACTTGGAGATATTGGCATTACCTGGAGCTGATGCTTCTGAACGAAGACAAATATCCAGTCTTCCCAACGCTTCGTGTCCTGACCGCACACTTTCGGACAGAGCCTTGCGGCCTTGACAAATTCACCTAAGGAATAGGTAACGTTAGAACCTAATTCGAGTATAGATACTGCAGCCGCTGACCTTCACTAACAAGATGCTCAATATATTTCTGTCCAATGGCAATAGCATCAATACCTTCCTCTCCCTCTGCGGCTGCTGTTTCACCCGCTACCTGGCGCCTCTCGATTTCTTCGAGAGCCTCCTCGTATCGTTTTCTTTCCACTAACCACGCCACATGATCTCGCCAGTCTCTCGGACGAACTACCACGACGTCTTTCGGACTGAGGACAACGTAGAAAGCTTCATGCTGATTAGAAGGAACGTCCACGAGGACATAATCATTACAACCCCATCTCTCGAATCCAGTGATCGAAAGGGCGTCTGCGGCCAGTTCTTCACCAGAGCGGGATATGATTCGAAGTTCCGGTCGCTCTGCCGCTTTGCGAGCTTGTTCGGCATGTGATGATGCAAGTTCGTTTCCGGTGAGTAGAGAGGTATCTGGAGGGGTATACGCAAGTACTAGGAATGATGTAAGAAATGGTTGAGAAGGTGAGGATGCGACGTTTGACGGCCTAGGTTGGGGCACCATCGCACTCAGAGGTGTCGTCATAGGATGTGGAACGATACCTGCAATCATACAGTCCAGCTGGAAAACGGCAGTTACCTCAACGATTAGAGGCGGAAGGTTTGTCTTGGGATTTGCAGCTGTCCTTGGTCGTGTGCGTATACGAGCAACCTTGATCTCGTCCGCCCAAGCAATAAGAAGCGTAGAGTCGTCTTGCCAATGAAGCGTGCACTTGAACAAGTCCGCACGAGGGCTATCCGCTGGCCTGTCGATGAAAATGATTCGCATCTGCGATTGCGTGTCATATATTTTGACACCCTAAGATTCATAAATCTCGAGTAGGGATAACGACACCAGAAGAATACTTACTAGATCATTTGCCCATGCAATAAGTCGTCCTCTCCATCGCGTCTGCCATATCGGACCCTCACCAGAATGGAGTAACGTCTCCTTATGACCCAGCCATCCCTTCTCATGCATGACCAAATTCCCAGCCATGCCCCCACATATAAATGCACGAGAGCCGGACTTTGCAAAGTTGGGCTCCAAAGCGATTGTACGCATTGGTCTTCTCATATCGAAGGAGTAGACCTCGGTGGTCGAGAGAGAATGAATAACGACCTGTCCTGATACGAGCACGACTTAGCATGTGCGAGACCGTTTTACAGACAGACTAACCATCTAACGAGGCAGTCGCGATAAAGTCCGCTGTCTCATCCATACATATGTCTATGATCGAGGCAGAATGGGGCTTCACGGACTTGATCCGCTGACCGGTGAGGTCAAGAATGTGAACGATACCTGCATGAGTTCCCAACGCCTAGAGTATAGCGTAAATATGTTTCACGGGGGTTAACAGGTTTGAGACTTACTAGCCTCTTGTTGGAATATGTGAGCGTAGACGCAGAGTCCTTCTGGAGGAGCTCATGAGCAACATCTCCAAGACGTTCATACTTCAATGCTGGTTCCTCTTCCTCTTCTTCCTCTTCCTCATCCTCATCTTCACCTTCATTGTCCTCCTCATCCTCAACGCCATCCGTGCCCTCTGAGTATGCGTACTGCGCGTCATCCTCGTGTTCATACTCTATTCCATTGGCATCCTTGTCGTCGTCACTCATGGGTTCAGGGCTATTAGTAACCAAGCCATTGGGTTTTTCGTCGTCTGCATGTGAAGAACCTGACTTGAATGAACTAGCAGGAGGGGAAGACATCAAGGTCCTGTAACATTGCAGTTCAAGTCGAGGTTACTGCAAGTCAAGCGCGCAGAGGTCGATCACTTCCGCATAATTAGTATGAACCGCAAGGAACCGTATATGTTCAGCTGGAAAATCTACTCTGGAAGTCTCAGCGAAGCTGAAACGAAATATCGTGCACAAAAGCTTTATGGCCAGAAGATTCGTCTTGCAAGTGTCAGATTACAGGAATTTCAAGATAAAGTTGAAGAGGTAAAGATACAATTCGGAACATGCTACTTACTACTACTACGATAAGAGAGTCATCGCAAAGTTCTAGGTAAGAATGAGGCGTCGGGTATCGATGAGGTGGAGGAGGTACTACAAATGGGAGGATGTATGTACGAGGTGAAATGCGCGTGGATGTATGTGATGATGGGTAAAAGGTACATGTTGAAAACGAATAGTTAAGCGCGTGAGCTAATAATAAAAAGAATGACGACCATTCAAGACCATATAATGTGCAGTAAACGTATAATGCATGCTTGGGTCATGCCCCGCCTCATCACCGCCGAGCAACTCGTTTGCGTTCCCGACCCTCCTCTTCGACGTCCATGTCGTCTGTTCCCTGTGTCTGATTCTGATCTTGAACAGCTCCACGAGTGCTCCGTGTTCTCCGTCTTGCCGCGCTCACATTGAGTGAAGGAACTCCAGGGCCTGAGTCCAGCATCATAGCGTTGTGTCGGCGTTTCATTCCGGTCGAGATGTCAGAGAACGCTGTGTCTGTCGGAGACGCGGACATAGGCGGAAGAATGGAAACAGGTGAGGTAAACGCAGTCTCCCCGGAAGAGAGTGTTCTGGCAGCATCAGTGTTGAATGAAGTGGAAGGTAAAGGCGAGAATATCGAGGTATCCTTGGCGGTGGTGACAGCTGAAAGTTTGGACTTCATCGCACGATACGTGTGATTAGTTGGCTGTATTGGAGCCGACGTTGGTCGAAAAGATACTGGCGAGGGTGACAACGGGGAATGTGCGTTCGTCAACGACGATGGTGTATGAGGGGTCAAGGGCATGGAAAGAACCTAGGGAAAAGTAATCAGTGTAAGAAAAAAAAGACGGCCAATACGGAGAAAAAAGACGTACCTGATCTTTCTGTCGTCCTGAGATGGTAGATGGTGCGATTGGTGACTTTGGTGTGGTTGACGTTGCAGCAGTCCTTGATGGAGCCACTACGGGTGCAGACCTTCCCCTCTCCTTTTCCCGCTCCTCGTCCTCATCTTCCTCCTCCTCCTGAGACTGAATGGCCTCTAATCTAGCCTCGACATAATCCATTATTCGCCCAATAGACATGCCTCCAGCTTCGCTTGGCTCCCCAGCAGAGACGCCCTGCTGAATCATGAGGAGCAAATCGCGACAGGCTGCAGAGTAACCGGCATTGTACGCTCGTTTAGATGCTTTGCGTGAGGACTTGTAAAGAGTGGTTAGGGCGAGGGCGGCAGCTAACGACGAGATTAAGATGGATTGCACTCTAAAAGCTGAAAACCCTAACTGACCTTTGAAGTTGTTTGATAAATCGGCCTCCGCATTGGCGAGGTTGGAGTTAGGCAATGAAGTTGCCAACATGTTGAGGTTGAGAGACTCCATAGCGGTCGATGTCGTGGACGGCGTTGTGGTCGTGGTCGTGGTCGTTGTCGAAGACAGTGAGGAGCGCCGTCCATATCTTGATCCCAGTCTGCCTGTCACGCGCAACTTTCCAAATGCGGAAATGTCGCGCACCAGACTCCCGCCATCAAAGTTGGCCATATCTAGCTTGCCAGAAATAGACTTCAGTAAGTTGCTTGAACTACCTCTCACCACGACCACCATGGCCGTATGTCAGGCTTCCAGTCTCTTCTCCCTCTCAGATCAGTGCGTACGACAGTTCTGGACAGCGACTGTACCAGCGATCCTCGCTGCCGCTTTCTGTATTTTTGCTTTGCCAGTACCCACTCCGATCAAGAGGATTCTCTACATTATTCGAGTTCCCTTCACGAACTTTTTGCCACTATCTGAAGCAGAGGCTCTTGACATTGGCGAAGTACTAGTCTACGATGAAAAATCGCATACGACGATCCCAAGGACGCTCTTCATCTCGACGCTTTCGCTGTTGGAATCTCTCGTGTGGCTCGGAATTGGCTCTTATGTCTTTGCTCTTGAGCCCTCTGTGACGTGGAATAATGTTCCACCTTTCTTATTAGCCCTTTCCTGGCTGTATGCCTCCTTGCACATTATGCTGAAACCGACCTCTACCCCGCCGTTCGACTTATTCACGCTCTACACGGCTCATTTTATCCTGGGCATTCTGACGATAGGTGGTATTATGTATGATTACTATGTCTAAGGATTCCCACTTCCCTCCACCTGGATTCTTGTTGCTGAAGCAGCGAACATTGTCACCATCTCGCTTCTCTTGCTCGTGGTCCTCCAAATGCCGCTCGCTATCCCCAGTGACAGAATCAACCCGGAAGAAATTGTGCGATATGATTCTTGTGCATTCTAGGCTATATTTAACCTTTTGTGCAGGGTCAATCAATCTCTCCGGAGGACTATACGTCGCTTTGGGGATGGATCACATTCGACTGGATCCGGCCGCTCATTCGACGGGTCAGTCCTGAATCTTACTTGTCGCATTTCTCACCTTTGTTTCTTATCACTAATAATGTACATGTTTCGTTGGCGATGTTACCTCCACAGGGAACTAACGTTACCCTAAACGAAGGTGACGTTTGGAACCTAAGTCCGACGATGCAAGCTCGTCCAGTCTACATAAAATTCAGCCAGACGAAACGAAACACGCTTTTGAAGCGACTTTGGGCCGCCAACTCACTCGACCTGATCTTGGATTTTGTGCTGACATATGTTAGCGTCGTCTTTAATTACCTCGGGCCATTCTTTCTGAAGCGTATCCTCGATTCGTTGGATCCAAGCTTTAAGTCTGACCCTGCCATCAGCTACCAAGCGTACATATTCGCATTCTTAGCGTTCTTGTCTACGTTGTGCAAGGTGTGTCCGCCTGAATCGAGTTGATGTTGTTCATGCTGAAATGTGAATAGGCGGAAGCAGACGTACAACATCTATGGTATGGTCGACGAGCCTCCACACGTATGCGCTCGGAGTTGATGTCCGCGATATACGATAAGGCACTGAAGCGCAGAGACTTCTCGGGGATTGTCGATAAAGACGCTGCGAAGAACGCCGGATCTCCTGGCAAGCCGAGTTTGTTACATTCATCCTCAATCAGTCCTTTGTATTCTCTGACAGCAGCTCAAAGATACCGACCCTAAAGCTGACGATCCGAAGGCAGGAGCTGACATTGGCAAGATTGTGAACTTGATGGCGGGTGACGCAAACAGGGTTGGTTCATTCCAATTTTTGCATGTCCATGAGCCTGACCTCTATTTACTAGATATGCCAAATGATTTCCGGGGTGTACTTTATATACGGAGGTAGGTTGTTCTCGTATTTGTGCAGACACCACGTAATATTGACACTTTTCCAAGCACCTTTCGAGATCCTTATCGCAAGTTTGTTCCTTTACCAGTGGGTTTTCTATATTCTTTCTCATGTATGCGAACGAAACACATTGACACGTTTCCAAGGCTGCTAGGGTTATCAGCATTCGCCGGTTTCTTTGTTATCATAATCATCTGGCCGTTGAACAACTTCTTCGCAAGACGTTCCTTCAGGATTCACAAAGGATTATCGACTGCCCGAGATAAGCGCATGGGTGTCCTCAACGAACTCATAGGAGCGGTCAAGTTTATCAAGTTCTTCGCTTGGGAAGACCGTTGGGTTGAACGTACATTGGATGCCCGAGAAGTCGAGATGCAATGGATGATTAAAGGCATGCAAATAGATGTCTTTTGTTCCTCCGGAGTATATTGATTGTTTTGTATAGCTCGTATCAACTCGATCTGCCTTTCGTTTGTATGGACATCTGCTCCCATTCTGGTCTCGCTGTCCTCCTTCTTTGTTTACGTTTGGCAAGGTAATGAACTAGATGTCGGAACAGCTTTCACTGTATGTTCCATTTATTTCTTAAACTTGATTACAGCGTTGATGACGCTTTTAGGCTATCGCTTTGTTCGGCATGATTCGGTAGGTACCAAAACGCACGTGATATTGTTATCAACTAATGTACGGATTTAGGGCACCCTTGAACGTCATTCCAGCATGGATTGTTCAAATCCTACAGGTTTGCTTTCATACCTTACTCAACGCTTACAACATGTTGATTTTATCCTAGACCGGAGTCGCTCTCAATCGTATATCAACCTACCTCGAAGAAGATGAAGTCGATGAGCAGGTTTCAACCCTGAAGAGAGGTCGTGTTGAGCCGACAGACCATGAACTTGGGTTCGGAATCATTAATGGCACTTTCAAATGGAATGAAGTTGAAGAAAAGAAGGAAGAAAAGAAGGCCGATACTAAACCGAATGGCGTAAACGGCGGAGCTTACACCGCTATCGATACTCAGTCGAATATTGACGACGTTGCCGATCATCGATTCGAGTTGAAGGATATCACTGTTATGTTCCCTGAAGGCGAACTCGCGGTCATTACTGGGCCCACGGCTAGTGGGAAGACTGCTCTATTGGTACATCCTCCAGCGGTGTCGGTCGATATGCTAGACTGACCTATGCGTGATCGCAGATGGCTCTACTCGGCGAACTCACCAAATTAGAAGGTCGCCTTATTATGTCAAAGAACCCTTCGAAAATCGACGAGAACGGGTTGATGCACGCTATTTCTTACGCTGCACAGTCCCCATGGTTGCGGCATCAGTCTATCAAAGATAACGTTCTGTTTGGATACCCATACGATGAAGAGAGGTACAAGAGTGTAATCGAATGTTGCGCTTTGTTGCCGGATCTTGACATATTGGAAGATGGTGATGCAACGGAGATTGGTGCACGGTTCGTACCGTGATATCCTTCCCATCCACGCCATTTCTTATCCTCCAATTCTCAGAGGCGTCAGTTTGTCTGGCGGACAAAAGGCTAGGTATGCGATACATTTTAGGTATTTTATTCGTTGCTGATCGTATTGTCCAGAGTTGCATTGGCGCGGGCTGTCTATGCTGTAAGCGACATTCATTATATGCTATCGCATTCTGATCATCTAATTTCTATAGCCAACGAAATATGTCCTTCTCGACGATCCTTTGAGTGCCGTTGTGAGTCCAAGCATATTTTTGCTCTCTTATTTTCTAATGAGCCGATTAAGGATAGTCACACTGCGCGGTTCTTGTATGAACGGCTCCTCCGTGGACCGCTTTTGAAAGATCGCACAGTGGTGCGTACCATTGTTACAATCGTCGGCTTCATCTGACAACCAATGTCGCCATGTTAGGTTTTGGTTACCCATCATGTTGAACTAGTACTTCCTGGAACCGACTACTTAGTTCGGATGCTAGATGGTCGTATCGATACCCAAGGATATGTGAAAGAGCTTCGTGCAAAGGGGATTCTCGATGAAATTGCTCAAGACGAGTCGATCGCAGCGCACAAGGAAGAACAGGAGGCAGAAGCAACTGAAGAAGTCGCCACACCTGTCGATGTCGAGGAAGAGGTTCAACCCGTGAGTACGAAGAAAGCGCGGAAGTTGATCGAAGACGAAAAACGAGAGACCGGCAGCGTAAAATGGTCCATTTATAAGACGTATCTGAAGGCATCGTGAGTATTCTTGCGGCCTTTTGGATTTCGAATCTCATGCATTCGTTCAGGTCGTACTGGACGTGGGTGATACTCTTTGTGCTTATCGTTCTCAACCAGTTATTGGCTGTTTCAGAGAAGTTCTGGATCAAGGTTTGTCTTTTCTTGTACGTCAGGCGCAAGTTCTAACGCCATCGTTTCAGTACTGGGGTCAAGCGTACGGTCGTCCCGATTCTTCTCCCTCGACACAATTCTATCCGATGAGGTCATTTATAACTCCGGAGCATGAAATTCCACTCGATACAACGTTCTCGTCTTTGCATGTCCATCATGCTCAATATCACACTGCGCCTTGGGTCAGCACTTTTGAGTGGAAGTGGCCTCGAGCTCAAGAGCATCCATTCTTTTATATCGGTGTATATGCGGCCATTTCCCTCGGAGCGGCATTGGTGAATATCGTAGGTGCAGCGACCCAGTACACAGGAGCGCTAAGAGCTTCTCGAGTTCTCTTCCGTCGCCTTCTTGTAACCGTAGTTCGCGCTACGATGCGTTGGCACGATGTAACTCCCCAAGGTATGTACTGATCCTTTGCGCTTCTATGTCTTCTCATTTTGTATACCTGTATCCAGGACGTATGCTTAACCGGTTCAGCAAGGTGCGTTTACACGGAAGGCTATGAAGCGGGTACTGACAAAGCATTAGGATGTGGAAACCGTGGATACTTCTCTGGCAGGGACCTTGCAGGCGGTCAATCAATCACTTGCAGTATTCGCAGCTTCAGCTTTGACTGTCATGTAAGGTGTCCGATGTATTCAAGATGTTGGATCATACTGACCTGACATGCTCAGGTTTGTCTTCCCTCTGTTTACTTTCCCAGCGATCCTCATCGGATGGGTCTACCGTCAACTAGCCATTGGATACCTCAACACTGGTCGTGACCTTCGTCGAATGGAGTCCAACAGCCGCAGTCCTATATTTGCAAACTTTGGCGAGGTGTTGGAGGGTATCGTGACTGTTCGCGCGTTTTCTGCTGAACAACGGTTCCTCGACGACTTGTATCGCAAGGTAGACCTGACAACGAAGGTAAAACAAGTTGTCTCTCTCAGAGTGGTGTCAATGCTCAAACATCTTTTGCAGATGTGGTACTCGTTCTGGATGACGAATCGCTGGCTTTTGCTCAACTTTGATGCTCTTGGTGCTCTCACTGTCCTTGTCACCACATTATTTGCATTATCAGGATATGTTGATGCCGGTCTTGCTGGTGTTTGCATGACCTCTGCAATGGCATTTACAAACAGTGTATACTGGGCATGCCGGTTCTGGACCGCCCTCGAGCTGGATCTCAAGTAAGTTGTTTCGCCATCGTCACCATAAGTATCGTGTTAACATGATCCTCAGCTCCGTTGAACGTGTCGTAGAGTATCTCGATCTACCTCAAGAACCCCCAACCATAATCGAGTCTCATCGTCCCCCGGCATACTGGCCGTCATCCACTGGGCCAAACAAAGATTCGATGATTGTTGTCGATGATCTAGTAATCAAATACGCACCTGAGCTTCCCCCGGTCTTGCACGGAGTATCCTTCAGCGTCAAGGCTGGCCAGCGTGTGGGTCTTCTAGGTCGGACTGGAAGTGGTAAATCGACATTGGCCATGAGCATTCTGCGTTTCGTGAGTGATATCATCCGTCAGTCTGTAATTCAGGCACCTTAGTCATCTATCCACAGGTTGATCCAGCCCAGGGGAAGATTCTCATTGACGGAATAGACATCACCACTATTGGTCTGCATGACTTGAGATCTCGCATTGTATGCATGTCTTTTAGCAAATGTTACTGCCTCTTTACTGATCCGTTCTCGTTGTTTAGACATTCATTCCCCAGGTAAGTGCATTGTTGGCGTTCCTTTATGCTCCCTGACTTTCATTATCAGGACGCTACACTTTTCTCTGGAACGCTCCGCGAGAATCTCGATCCTTTTGGTATGTCGGCTCTCATCGAACTGGCACTAGCATCTCACCCCAATAATACGCAGGCGAACATGATGATAGCGAATGTCTCGACGCCCTCTATCGGGTGCAAATGCTAACCGAGCACCAGCTTGCCTCTCAGCGAACTTCACGAGAACCATCGCGTGCCCCTTCCGTCCCTACCTCGCGTGCAGCTTCTATACGAGGTGTCGAGCGCGAGGATACGGCGGACTCGTCCACCTCCACGCCCGTCTCCCTCAGTGCAACTGAAGTGGACTCGAAGACGACGATAACGCTCGATACGCAAATCTCACCTGGAGGGACGAACTTTTCTCAAGGACAACGTCAGTTGATCGCTATGGCTCGGGCGTTGTTGAGAAGAAGCTCGATTATTGTGTTGGATGAGGCGACGAGCAGTATCGACTTTGCTACTGATGCCAAGATCCAAGCGACCATTCGGGAAGAATTCAATAACTCACTCTTACTCACAGGTAATGATGTTTTTTTGTTGTTGTCTGGAACGCATGATGTATGTATGCTGACATATGTACGTGCAGTGGCTCATCGACTGCGAACGGTTATCGACTATGACCGTCTGCTTGTCCTTGACAAGGGCGAACTGGTGGAGTTTGATACGCCTTGGAACCTCATTCAGAAAGAGGGTGGGTTCTTCCGAAATATGTGTCTCAAGAGTGGCACATTTGCGGAGTTGGAAGCTGCTGCTAAGGCAAAGGCAGAGAATCTTACATCGTAATTGCTAGTAGAATGGCTGTGTTACGCTCTGTATGTATGTTTTTGGACAGTGGATGAATATTATTCGTATTACTGTACGGTGAACGGTGAGAACGATGGAAAGGATTGCAAGGGTATCAATAGTATCAGTACAACGTTACGTTTGTGGTGTTACATATTCTACGTTTGGGACATCAAGGGTATTCATTCAACGACATCTACAAAAAATCACCGCACATTCTCTTTGCCAACAGAGATCCCCAAATCCTTCACGCGTCCATTCTCGAGATGATACAACCACCCATGGACGTGAACTTGTTTCCCCTTCTTCCAAATATTCTGCAATGTCTCAGTTTGCGCCACATTCAGCACCTGGGCCTTTATGTTCTCCTCGACCAGTTGTAACATCGCGTCCTGTGGCGTTTCACCTTCAGAAAGGGACTTGGCGGCGAGCGTCGTAAGAGGCTCTAACCAGCGACCAAGGGGGGTCGAAGGAGCGGGCGAGGCAGCGTTGGACTGAGCGGCGGCATGGCATGCAGCAGCGCCACCGCAGTTGGTGTGACCTGCGATAATGATATGTTCGACTCCGACGGCATCGACAGCGTATTGGATTACGGATAGCACGTTATCATCATGAAGGTGTACTTGACTAAAAGATAAAGATGAAAATCAAATTGTGTGAGGCACGGGTTTTTTGCATTTGAACGGCAAACTTACTTGGCGACGTTGCGATGGACGAATATGTCTCCTGGTTTCGCAGCTAGGACAACGGACTCGGGTACTCGCGAGTCTGCACATCCAATCCAGAGAACCTGCAAGAAGTTCGCTATCAGGATACCCCAAGTACTTTGGCCGAGTGGGGGGAGGGAGGATATAGAGCGACATGCATACCTTGGGTGCCTGACCCTGTGCGCTCTGTTGGAAGAAACCGGATTCAGCAAGGTCTACGTCAGAGGCCCATTGGGCGTTCTGAGCTAGTAGGCGGGAGAGGACAGCATGACCATTGTGGCCAAATTCGAAACTGTAAGGCATGTTGTGTAGGGGGTTATTGGTAGACCGAAAGCTTAGGTGGGACAGGGTATATATATATATGATATGAAATGAGGCTGGACGAGCGGTGGTATTGAGGTGAGCAGGAGAGGCAGTTATATATAGGACGGCTAGCGAAAGGAAAGATAAGGCTTTGCAGTGAGCGCGGTAGATATCATTTTGTTGCCATACTGACCTTTTCTCAGCTCTTTAAATCCGGACAAATTGGCAAATGCAAATGCTAGAGATGTCAGTCGCGGGTGTCAAGGCAAGTAGCAGATGGAGAGATGTTGGTGGCAGATGGAAAGGCGTTGTTGGCCACAGCAGCGGTGACTACGGGACTCGACAGCATTCGTTGGGGGGGGTGGCCGCGGCAGGCCCCACATTTATTTTCCTAGGCTCACGCACCGACACACGTTCATCACGTCCTCCATTGCGCGTAGCCTCGTCTCTACGATAGCAAATAAAGCAGAGCAAACGTCGTTAACGAAGAAAACCTAGAGAGCCTTGGCAAGCGTCAGTAGAGTTTCGCGAGGATTCGTGTCCACTGCTGTCCACTACATTCCTAATCCGAGCGTACATCATGAAATTCGACATCCAGAAATATCTCTGCGCAGCAGTAGGCTGGTCTATCCTGAGAGGATTATTCGTGGGCAACGGGTCCTTGCCAGGGATGAAGGAAATCGTTCTCATCCTCTCCAGCTCGTCGTCTTCACCTTCAACCACGATCATCTCCGTCCAGGCCCACCTGGGCCCGTAGCGGCCTCGCGCCCCCTACCGTACATCCTCGGCAACGGCGGTCTCTTGCAGGGCTGAAATCATGTCTAGTAGTGCGGAGACTGCGTCGTCATCATCGAGCAGTCCAACAACGTCAGGGTCGAGTGGGAACCTTGGAAGTCTGCCCTCGCTGTCGTCCTCTGCAGCGCTCTATCGTATGTCCAGCTGCAACGCGGACTCTTTTTACGCTTCATACTAATATGCAATCGCTAGTATATACTTTCCTTGGTCAGTCGATCGTCTATTTCGAAATGAGAATCTTAATATAAGCTGTGCATTTGTCCTTATCACTGACGGATTTCTCTGGAACCATACAACCATGCTAACATTCCATGACGTTTCTCAGCCACCCTTGTGCTCCTGCTCTCGGTCTCAGGAGCAATTGTCATCCGTTCGTATGTGATACGGAGGCAACAACGAGAAGCCCTTGAGCGAGCGATCCTTACCGGCACTTACGTCCCACCACCTCCGAGGCGTCGAATCGACCCAAGCAAGAAACCTACAATACACGATGTATTCCTTCCTACCTCGAATGAGAAAGCATCTCTAGAATTCAGCCATCGTGAGGTCGATCTTCATGCTTGGTGGGCTAGCGTCGTGGTGAGCCACGCTCTCGATAAACAAGCCTCGAAGCTAACAGTTCTCTTCTCTTACCATCGTCACCTAGCCTGCAGCAGCTGTATTTGAGAAACACCCTTCCACGCAGACATTCCAGTACATCTTACCCTCTTCTTCGTTCCAACGACAGCCAGGATTATCCTTCTGGCAACGACGACATCATTTACGACTTCCTTCGCTCGGGCTTCCCTTCCGCTTTCCATTGCACCGTTCCAATACCCAACGCTCTGACATACCCTTAAGTATACCAAACACTTCAGGTGTCGTTCCTTCCAGCTCAGTGACGAACGCTGGTTCCGGAACGAGGTCGACACCTGCCGAACTCGAAAAGCTTCAAGTGACTTTCCTAGTCGTAATGCCATCTCCGAACCAAAAATATGATTATGATAACGTAGACGAGCTTCCTTACGTCGAACTTGGGACTGCAGAAGTCCTTGCGCCTCGTGTAGACGGCTAGAGTGGGATTTAGAAGGACATGTAATGTACTTGTATTGGATATGTATAGGCATCATGATCAATGTCTTCACGCAAAAGAAAAAGCTGCGTATGAGAAACACTCCTTCACGGGGTCGAAACCCGGAGCGGAGGAATGCTCCAGGGATAATTTACATCATGCCCACACGGCGGCAACTTGACTTAGCGCGTACCCATTACAATTTCAAACCTACTCGCCCGACACCTACACCAACCGCCTCTATGTTTCGCGCCGTGCGACTGGTATGAGTCTACTTATTACCGCACCAGAGCGAAGAACTGATGAGGATTCTTTAGCCAAGGAGACAGCTCCTAGCAGCAGCGGCAGTTGCTGTCGCTATCAACAGTCCCCAGGAGAAGGCGAGTATCAGAAATTCCATACCACATATACACCCATCCACCCATCCTACACTATTCAACAGACATGCCATTAGTGCTAACCTCGCTTTTTCCATTTTTGATAAAATAGCTGGGTATATACTCTCGTGCTGAACCTGTCATAACCCTGCAAGAGTCTCCCTCGGAACTCGAACGTCAGATAGGCAAAGCGAGGAGAGCAGTGACGTCTACGTATGGGGACGCCTATGCGCGTGTGCAGGGTGTAGTCTCGAGTTGGATCGGTGTCGAACAAGCTGTCGAAAGTGCGTACTCGCCCACAATACATGACATATCCCATCATCCTCATCATGACATTCACTCTGCATTGTATAACGGTAGAACGGGTAAAGTCGCTCATCGACCCTGAAGAACCTCTCACCCCTGGGATCCTCTACGTCGGCGTCGCCACTCTCACAGGCTCAGTCCTAGCCCGCAACCGACTCCTCCTCTGGCGACTCGCGCTCCCACCCACGCTTCTCCTCCTCTCCCTAAACCATTTCCTCCCCAAGACCACACACAACATCTCAAGCTATCTCAGCACGCTCGAAGAAACCTATTTCCCCACTCTCGCCGAAAAGCACGCGATCGCTAATGCGCATACACGTATGACCTGGGAACGCGCCAAAGAAGCCACTCAAAATGGTCGGGAGAGAATCTCGCAGGGGCTCGTTGGGGCTATAGATAAGGCACAGGAGGTTAGTGGGTTGAAGTTGAAGGAGACGTTGGGGTTGGGGACGGAGGCTGTGGCTGCTGCGAAGGTTGGGACGCAGCATGCTGTGGAGGTTGTGGAGGAGAAGGCTGAGGAGGCGAAGGAGTTTTTGGAGAGTAAGGCTGAGGGTGCGAGGGAGGCTGTTGTGGAGAAGATTGAGGATGCTTCGAAGGTTGTTGCGGAGCAGAAGAATGCTGAAGAGACGGGGACGAAAGCTGAGCCTGAGGAAGTAAAACGTTTGGTGTAGGCACACACGTCTCTATAGAACAAGTTCGTGATAGAATAACTTTGGTGGATTCCTCCTCACTCTCTTCATTTGATCCATCGGTTGAATGTGATCAACATATACTGCAGTCTTCTGAACATTAGATTACTTCACCAACACCTCACATCTACTGTCATTCATCGCAAGTGTTACCTTTCTACATACTTTGTCGCTAATAGTATGCTCAGTCAATGGAAATGCCCTAATAGTGATGTATATCGGCATCTATTGGATATCGTACCTTGGCCATGAGCGAACACTAGGGTAAGGAGTGATGTTCGCCTTTTGGGCGAGGCGGTCCCAAAGAAGGCAACGTCTTTAAAAATCATGATTCCAAACGAACGTCTTGCGTTGAAAGCATCCAACCCAAGCCAACCGTGGCATATGAAACTCGTTCTGGACCATGAGAAATGAGACGTATTATATCTATATCATACCTCACATTCAAGCAACCAAGGTGCAGTATACATTCAACGAGTTTTGCTTGACTGTCGAGTTTGTCTTCAGACATCCGACGTTTCCAAGAATGATACTACAGAACTGACTCTGCACCATGGACTGTGCTGGGAGGTGTCATCCATACAGCTGAGGAAAGTAACCGAGAGCAAGACAAAGCGCACACTTGGGCAACTATACAGTACGGTAATTAGCATATGAATAGCATAGAGCTTCCATGTGAATGCAAACCTCTCTACTGGCCATATAGCAAGAGTCTGCAAACGCATCTCTTCCTTCAATCACCTCACACGTCCCGCCTTTGGTTTCTCCTTCTTCTCCTTCGAGTCAGCCTTCTTCTGAAGAGCTTGAGCCTGCTTCAACAACTCTTCCGCACCCGCACCACTCTCTAACCCACTCATCCAATCCACATCATCTCCATGTCCACCAATACCATCAAACTTCCTATTGAACCTCCCAAGACGACCAGTGACCTGATCCTCCTCGTCGTTCTCTCCCAACCACTGAGACGGGTTCCATACAGGGTTATTCGTAGTGTCTCTCGTCAATCGGATGACCGAGCGGGGTGAAGTCGTGTAGTGTGTGTAGGTTGAGCCGTCTGCTCTGACGACGATTTGTGGGAATTGGGGAACGAAGGGTTTTGGGAGTTTCTTGTCGCGGTGTTTCCAGACGTGGGTACGGCCGTATGGGGAGGAAGAGACGCAGCGGATCGGTGTGAGGGGTTTGATGAGGAAGGACGGTTTAGCGCATGATGAGAGTGCTCGAGAGGAAGATGGGCCTGCGAGGAGGGACAGGACGGTCATGGATGCGATTTTCGAGCTGCAACTGGGGAAACCGTCTAGGAAGAGGTGTTGCTCACCACGTGGCAGTTACCGGTTATGGTTGTATCTCTGACGTGCCTCCGACATTCACGATATTCATCCCTTCCCTCCGTCTACAACATACAGGTAGTTCCTCTAACAGGATTTGCAGGTATTGTATTGTCTCTTGTACGTCATTTCCGCGTATGATATAAATATGCTTCAACTCCCTTACATGCCCCGGATACTCTCGATTTATGCCCATTGTCACTTAGTCTGATGCAAACAGTCTCGCTACAACTCAATCGATCAGGACCGAGGCGAAATCAGGTTCCTTGTGTCAGTATCTTCAAGTTCTCAACTATCATACTCACATATTTATATATGTAGTCTCTTGAAAGGTCACTTGCATCTCATGGACCTGCGCATTCCGTACATGTCGGGACGCGCAAAGTACGCCACTAGATCTATACTGGACCTTTCTAGGGAGTCGTAGACTATTTATCCCCATACACCATTCTCGATTATCGTACACCTCGGAGACTTCCTTATAGAGCGAACTATCCCTCTCATAAGACCCTTTTTATTCGTCACCGAGAACGAACAGGGTACCTTGTTGACAGCATTGGGGGGCATATGTGACAAGCTTCTTCGCGTCCGTCTCCTACAAGTACCCCTCCGCAAGCTCGACTTCGCAGTTGCTATGATCAATGCGTCTGCTAGTGAGGCCATCCCCTCTGTTCCTCCTCGCACACAAGCAGCCCTCCCATGTCCACAACGCCGAATTTGGATATTCTCTCAGCTGTTCGTATCGTATCTCAGACACAAGCAGTAAGCCGTAGTGAAGGTGGGGGTTATGTTCCCGGCTCGTCGTATCCGACTCTCAATTTATTTGTTTGTCTTAAGTCGCTGCTGTTGTACTCCTGACCTACGACATCTTGACAACCTTTGGTGACGAGGTACGTCTCTCGGTAGGTGCTTTTAGGCTGAAAGTTTGACCTTATTTTCAGGTTGAATTGATATGGCGGTACGCCTTCCCTCTCAACATACATAACGTCTATCTCCGCCCCTCATTATGACTCTAGAAAACAATGGACGACGGCAAAGGGCATGTACTTCGCTTCCCGCTACATTCCGTGGATGTTCGAATTGTACGTTCTCCCTTCCACATTTGCACTGTACATCAGTACATCAGTTACTCAACGTCTGCCAGAGCTCTATTGACCATCAACATCGATGGCACGACCGGTCTATTCTTCACCATGTCGCAATGTCGGAAGTGGATGATCGTCCAAGCCGTCACCCTCCAACTGATTGTAACGATCGTGGATGTGATTCTGATGACTCGAGGTACGTCTCTCATCTTCTCCTTCCCCGGGGCTTCTCAATGGTGACTGTTACCTGCAAGTGTATGCCCTGTTTAATAGGAATCGAACCCTTCTATGGGTGCTTATCGTCCTATTCTGCGGTGAAATCAGTTATATGTCTTATGTTCTAAGCTATGTCACGCCCAAACTGACTTACAACGACGATTGTTTCGTTACATCGAGTCCACCGATTTTCGTATCTTACTGGTATGTCCTTCCCTTTAATCAATGGCTACTCGATTGTCCATGCTGACGGCCGCCACGATATACTGTCTTGGCAATAACCTTTGCAGGATCGTATCTCTCGTATTCGAGACATTTCTTTTCCTCCTTACACTCGTGAAGTTCTTCGAGGCTCTCCGGCGCGGATGGGGTCATCGGCCTATCATGCGACAGTTCATATCAGACGGGACGTGGGCATATGCTCTCATCTTCGGTATATAATTCTCCTTCAAAAACGTCCGTTTTTACCTTGATTGATTCAACTTTCGTTTTGGTAGCTACGATGTCCCTCAACTCGATGTTGTACAAATTCGTTCATTCGCCGTTAGCAGGGATTTGCTTCACGTGAGTTTTATTTTCCGGTCACTTTCCACACTCGCGTCCCGAGTTCTGACTTATCCACTTATCTATATACATTGGCATTGCGTATGTAGATGGTTACTGTCGGTGTTGTCCATCGCTGGCTCTCGGCTCGTCTTGAACCCACGCAGGAGGTCGCAGGAGGAATCATCCAAGCTAGAAGATCTTTCGCCTATCTCACCGACGACTCGCCTAGCCTTTAAAGACACACAACTCGACAGTAGCCTCAGCACGAATGGATTTTAGTGAGCCATCAAGTTATCATATCAGACTCTGCCGTGGAGACTACGGCCCCGGGAGGCCCGATAACCACTACTAGACCAACCATCCCGTACCCTCCTATCACCAGTACTAGCACCCTTATCCCGTAGATAAGGAAAGGCGGGGTACAGTGTCGAAGCTAGAATTCGGGAAGGCTGCTGTCCACAGTCGAGGTGATTGTGACGGTTGTGGTGACCTGTGGGAAGGGGACAAGAACAAGTGCGGGGAATAGATGAGAGTGTCTATAAGTAGGAGTAAAGAACGACAAACTGTCTAGCAGAGCTGTAACAATGCCCATTAATATAGAAGTTAACAACGACCCTTCATTATCAATTGCAGAGCTTTAGATTAAAATAAAGTACCTGTATAGAGATAATTCTACAGCGTGATCATTTCTTCGGCCTGTACGTCACGCCTGAAGGTTCGTCAAGTGAAAGTCTGTTTCCGAGGTCTATGGCAACAAGAATTAACGTTGCCCAGTTCCTTGGCAGATGTAATGCATGATGAAATCTCTCGAGACGATCCACAAGGCCTTCCATTTTCGGATAATTGTCGATGCCCTTTAGGCTTTCGCCTCCTTTCGTGACGTCGTCTCTTTAAAGTTGACAATCATCATAGTATTAATACTCGCTTGAAACTATGCCAGAGCACCAAATAAAAACAGCTGCAGCTCCCTTCGACAACGCTTCTGCGACTGTAGTCCTGCGAACTTGCGACAATGTCGACTTTCACGTCTTTAGAGAAATCCTCCTCGTTGCATCCCCTGTCTTCGCTACCATCTTCTCCCTACCTAGCCCAAACTCAGACAATGACGCTGACTCAAAGGATGGAGTCCCTGTCATTCCTATATCTGAGGACCAGGAGACGATGGACTACATCCTACGTCTTTGCTATCCTTTGCCTGGTCCCCCCAAGCTCACCTCCGTCTCGGTCGCAGAGAAAGTCTTTGAAGCCGCTATGAAGTATGAAATACAGAAGGTGCTAGGTATAGTTGAAAATGAGGTAACATCTCTGGGAAGTGCAGACCCATTACGCTTGTATTCCTTCTCATGTAGGATTTTTCTGGAGCGCGGAGCACAACGAGCGGCTGAGCTGCTACGCGAAAAGTATCGACCCAGTGACAAATGTCCCGGATGTACCACATACTCCTCCGGGAAAAAAACATGTAGAGGAGATCATCCAGTTACTGATGGGCACTTCTGTACGCTGGCCGAGACATTCTACGCCAAATGCCCCAGTGACTTGTCGGCTGGTTGTCTTTTTCGCTTAATCCGATTCATATGCTTTGGTACGGCATCCTCGTTCTACAAGCCAGATGAATCGGACTTTCCAGACGTGATGAAGCCAAAGTCCTTAAAGAAGACGTCCAGCCATAGTTCATATCCCGACGCGACGCTATTGGAACATCATCCTCCCGACATCATCTTGCGCTCATCGGACATGGTCGATTTCCCCGCTCATAAACTCGTGTTACGTGTGGCATCCGCTTACGATATCGTTGATCGCTGCGTAGCAGGAGGCCCTCTTTCCTCAGATGGGATTCCAATCGTTGATCTCGCTGAGAGTAGCATCATTGTCGGGGCACTTCTCGAACGCTGCTACGCTGGTGGGGAGGTCAGCACGCGTGCTGTTGACACTAATAAAGAAACCCAGGTTTGGCGTGCAGCGAGGAAATACAAGATGAGGCGGCTTGCAGAAGCGGTGAAGAGTCAACTTCTGTCGCGAATACGCACCTCTCCACTCAAGACGTATTTCACAGCGGTCTCGTGTCATTGGCAGATAGAAGCTGAGGAAGCAGCTCGTGATATCGCTTCGCAAGAAATATGCTTATCCACAAGCTATGTCACCGAGATGGACGGCATGGGAACTCTTGATGCCTATCGGAAACTTCTCCGATTCTGCCATAAAGTCTCTCACTCACAGTACCAAGTTTTACAGGCATTGTCTCCTGACATGCCGAAATCGGAACAAGGAGACTCATGGTATGATCCAGCGTTCTCTCGCCCCTCCAAGATCCCAGTAGGGATCATCCTCCGCCTACTGAAGGATCTGGGACAAAGTAGCTATCATTCAAAATTTGTCAGGCAGGAGTATGACACCAATCCCATGGCGTTCGGCAGAGAGCTGTTCTCAAGGTACACACCGGTAGAACAGCAACTTTTGGACGGGTTGTCCAAGGTCATTAATTTTCAAGTTATGTGCTATTTTCTTATCCTGACGGAATCATCCAGATTACCTTGGAATTATGAGCACAATTTGTAGATGTACGCTCGAGGTCTGCGCATAATGTTTTGCTATATTTGTCATGACTCGGACGACTGCTCTTCGGACTCAGAAGATAGTAACTATGATAATATGTTGAACCGTTTGTTTTTGGCCCTCGTAGAAACTCGTTCTGGAAATGGACCCGATACAAGCACTTTTCGCTATTCACCATCTGACCCATCCGGTATGCAGGATCTAGTAGGTATATGTGGGGCCGGTCTTCTTATGTCAGACTTTCAATGATGGACGGTAGGTGTCTCGTGATGCATCGACCTGATGTTGTTACTCATTCGTATGCAAAGAGATCTTCCCGTTCGCGCATTCGCTCGCCTTTTTGAATATTTACTTCGCGCTTAATTGCTACCGCAAGCTCATGAGGCCGCTCAGTATGTCGCATCATCTCGGGCTTCTTGGAACAGCATCATTGTCTCAGAAGTGGAAGCTTTGGGGACTACTCAGGCTTATTATATGATCTTGAAGTATTGTGGGGAGGTTGTCCAAGCGGAGCAGAACCTCTCGCTTCTTGGCGACAAGGAATCGCGGTTTTCTGAGCTCGACAAGATGGAGCGATCCTGGTTATGCGTTCGTGCTGGGAATATCGTCGGCCATAGTTCTGTGAAGCTTTAGATCACAATAACCACACTGGATACTACAACGGCGCTTTTGTTGATCCGCCACCAACATGCAACTCAAGAGCACTTTCGGAGGTCTGAATTTTATCAGGCCTCTACATCATTCATGCGGCGGCGTATGGTGCAGGGGTCCAGGGGCGCGAAACGTCGGAGCGTCAGCACGTTGAGGCAATATCGAAAGTACGTCGTTTCTGCACCGAATATATGGTCTGATTACGGTTTGCACAGATTGAATTAAGAGACTGAAGGTTTTCTCGCAGCTGACAGTAATTATATGGTCGAAAATGAAGTGCACAAGTGCACACTATATTACCCATATCATCACACTGAGACTGACGTCCGAATTGCCCTCAAGTTGTCGCTTCACATTCTATTACGCCTGAGAGCGAGCCTTATGTACACAAGCGTTATGTATCTCTAGTTGTGTGTATATTTAATTGGCAGCCTCATGTGAACCTCATTCCAAGCTGTCATTAACGGTCAGTCTCCCGTAGCCTCGAGTACCTTCTCTTCGTCTGACCACCATGAGTGACCGATCCATTGCCAAAGCACCGTTTGACGACAGGTCCGCGAACATCATCCTCCGTTCTTGCGATGATATCGAATTCTACGTCTACAAAGATATACTCGTGGTGGCCTCCCCATTTTTTCGAACGACATTCTCTCTACCGCAGCCATCCCCTTCGCCTGATACTGCATCTGACATAAATGCTGATGGATTACCTATCATCCGTGTACCTGAGGATGGCGAAACACTGGATTATATCCTTCGAGTCTGCTACCCGCTACGTCCTCCAGCACGGCTGACATCCATGTCCCTTGCAGAGAAGGTACTGGAAGCTGCCTTGAAGTACGAAATCGATAAGGTGATTGATCAGGGAAAGGAGGAGATACTCTCTTTGGGTAGCGAAGAACCCATGCGCTTATATGCATTCGCATGCCGAGTTTCTCTGGAGCAAGAAGCTAAGAGCGCTGCAGAGATTTTGCGCAAGTCTCATCCTTCGCAGGTGCATACGCCAGCTCGCTCCACTGGCAACGTTGAGACCTGGAGAGGTCTCGGTCAAGTCGATCAGGACTTTGTACGTGTTGCTACAAAGATTTACAGCGATGGGTTCAGATGGATTCCTGCTTCATGGCTATTCCGTTTGTTGCGTTTCATTTGCTTTGAGGAGGTACAGACATTTTGCCATGGATCTTCGGCTTTCAATTCCATGTCGAGTACATTGACGGAGCCACATCAGGCCGATACGATTCTGAACCATTCGCCCGTTACACCATTCGGACCTGAGTTAAAAATCGAGGAGCAAGCAGATATCATATTACAGTCTTCTGACAATATCAATATTTTCGCTCACAAGGTCATCCTCCGGACAGCATCTGCACATGCCATGGTAGATCGAAGCAAGGAAGATGGAAGCCCGACCCGCGATGGCATCCCCATGGTGTCACTTCCGTACAGTGGTAAAACGTTGAAAAGACTGGTGGGCATGTGTTACTCTCCTGGGAAGGCGGTTAAAAATGGGGACACAGCAGAGGATGACTTACGCGTATGGCATGCAGCGAAGGAAAATGGCATGCTCGGAGTTGCTGCTGCTGCCAGAGAGAGCTGGACCGCGCACGTAGAAGCTACGCCATTGAGTGCATACTTCGTTGCTGCCACCAACGGCTGGGAGCCTGAAGCTCGAGCGGCCGCGCGTCACCTCGCCGTCAACTGTATTTCGGTTGCAAATAATTGTGTCGACGAGATGGAGAAATATGGCACAGCAAAATATTATTATGACTTGCTCAGCTTCCATGACAAGCTCTTTCAGGCAGAACAGAAACTTCTGAAGTCCGGTCAGACACCGATTCCGTATTCACCTACGGACGACCAATGGTGCGATCCTTGGTATGGATCGACTCGAAGCATAGCCCCAGCGATTGCTTTGCGAGCAATGAGAGCTCTATTTCAAACCGTTAGAGTTCATAAAAATATGAAACAAGGACACTCAAGAGGTTCTTACATAGATCCCCCTCCTTCACGGCAGATCACCGGCCTGGAGTCTGAGTCCTCTGACATCGAAACACAAGTGGCGAGGTTTCACATTGCTCCCGCCGAGTGTATCAGACATATGGTGGAGGAGAGCGAGGTTCTTCAGAAGAAACGTGATGAAGCAATATTGACCGTAAGTATAATTCATTCCAACTCCTGACATCGTGGTACTGACTCGATACTATTTGAATGGCTAGATCAAGATGGGGTGAACCAGGGAACATACAACTGGTATCGAATAGGGCTAGCATCCAGTCTTCAACTACAAATAGGAGTCAGGATACTTGTATTAGTAGGATGGTTGATCATGCATATATGCAGATAATTATGTACATATCCAGAGTAATTTCTCTCAACTCAGCAAGATGCACGTAATGTCTGGTAACATCACATCAACATGTGAATGTGACAACATACTTAGCAGTACTTGTCTTCTGCAGGGCCACAGTCTGTTGAAATATAGTAGAAGCAGCGAGTGTTTGCTATGTGCAAGGAATGAGAGGAGCGGGATAGAGTCTCGCATACTTGGCGTATTCTCATATATAAGTAGTTACTTACCTTGTATGTATTCATCCATTTGTCTCAGAGCTCAATGAGGTCAAATGTTATGACTCACTTTCCTCCCGTGTGATGTGTATTTTAATACAAATAGATCACCTAGTCTATAGGTTATAAACAGACATGCCCTAGTGGGACTGAATTCACCACTTGCATTACATGTTTCCCATTGTTTGCTGAACCTTCTGGTCCTCTGTCATCGATCTCACACTGTCAAAGCCTCTGCGCAAATACCACCATATTTTTCTGAGCACCTGATCAACTATGTACATTGTCCTACGACTACTGACATGACCTACAAACTGTGTATGCCCCATAATTGTGTAATTTCCCATAACTGAACCTCGAGCCCCTGATTGAAAACTCGAGTATGAATGAATGAACCTTTTGGATGCTGGCGGGCCCCCGATTGAAACCCATGCAGTAGTCTTGACCATTGGCATGCAGACCTGATCAAAACCTGCATAGTGCTGAACATACTTTGATTAGCTCATTGAGAGCTGTTGATGAAGATTGAACCTTCGTATTTTAGACCCTTGTGTATTCAGAGAGTGCTTGCACCCCTTACTGATGTTTCTCCTTTTCTAAGAGTTATACAGCTGGAGTTTTGGCATGGGCCATCGACAGGATGTTGGAGTGGAAGAATGCTAGATTGAGGAAGTGCTGTGATATGTTGCTAATGTTGAGGATTGGAGTGTTGGAAGTTGTGCACATGCTCCGCTCGAGGGAGTATATTGGAATATAGTAAAAGTGGTGAGCATTCACTATGCGCAAGAGATGAGAGGAGTGGGACAGAGTTTCATGTACTTGGCATATTCTCATATATAAGTAGTTACTTATCTTGTATGTATCCATCTATTTGCCTCAGAGCTCAACAAGGTCAAACATTATGACTCACTTTTCTCCCACATGATGTGTATTTTAATATAGTTGCAGTCAAGTCAAATAGAGTAAGGACTCGATATTGCATTCTACAAAACAAAATAAAATATATGAACCTACAGAAACTCATCTGTAGCTACATCAATAAGCACAGAGAGATAAAAAGATTTAGAAATGCCGAACAAATACAGCAGACAGAACTAGCAATATAAGACCATCCAAACACCCACCACAGTGTACAAACTGAACTACATATTGCAGTCAATATATGCGACAGCCGGCATTCCTGAAGGAAGAGTTAGCTTGAGTATTGCCAAAGGACTTGGGCATGATATAAGCATTTGCGGAGGATATATTTTGATAAGCTGCATAGGCTTTTGGTCCTAACTCCAGTATACATTGTGGATAGGGCTGCATACTTCCTGACGAACACAGTAAAAGTTCTGCATATTGGCTCGATAAACTTAGTTGAGCACCTTGTCCATCCTGTGCATCTGGAATGTCAAAATATCTTGTGCCTTAATTGCAAATAGGGTCAAGACTCCTGCTGGATGTAGTATACGCTAGTGAGTCCTGAGCCCTATATACTGTAGGAGATGGTGGTAAAGAAGTGCTCAGTATTTTAGTCATTACACCTGCAGTTTTAGGATCAGTAAGATTAATTATAAGTCAGTTGTGATGCATTATTATGTATGAAATAATAATGAAACCTCAGACATCATCTAGATAAGGAAAAACAATCTTCTAAAAAAGAGTGAATATTGAAATTGAGGAAGAGAAATAGAAACTTATGAACAATGACAATGCACTGTAGCATGATAATCTGTCAGCTGCCAAGTTGCAAGAGATTCTACAAAGTTATAGGCACTCTTCTTAGATGGTGCATTAAAGCTCAAATTGTTAGAATTTTATATATACTTATTAAACTATAGCAATACCAGCATAAGTAGGTGCGACATAGCTCTGTTAGAGCAGCTACATACCTTAATTTTGACTTCATATCTCTGGTCTTTCATAAGAGGCAGTTCTTTGGTCAGGTTATCTAGTTTTCACTCTTCATTAATAGCAAAGTAAATAGAAATACCATCTTTGACATAAGGTGACTTGAAGAATATGTCGATCTTCTGTTCTTCATTAGGTGCAATATTATCTATATATAAAGCTGAAGATTGCACAGCCCCTTTACCTATCTCCTTAGGAGACAGATCTTGGAAAGTCTGTTTATAAGCAGGAGCATTCTTTGAGAATATATTTTATCTTGATGCATTAGCAGGTATATGGTTGATAGACATAATGCACATAGACTTTTGAACAATAAAAAGTAAGTATATAGTAGTATAAACAGGATCTTGAGTGACAAAATAAGTCAAGAAGCTTATAGCAGATTACAGTATTGAGTAGGGCCACAAAATGTGAAGAGTATTGACTATAGTTACATGATGCACCTTAATGGGTGTCTCTACCTTCTTGATCATATTGAGCATCTGTGATTGAGATTCATAGTGAGAATATAAGATGTCAAAGAAAAAGAGGAGAATGGAGAGAAGAGCATCTAGCTTGCTACAGAGAGCATTGGTATTGTGAAAAGCAACTAGGAGAGACAGGAGATAGTGAGCATTTTTGGAAGCATTTGTAGCATGAAGAAAAGCAATATTTTTATCAAGAGAGATTGCAGTTAGAAGTGTTGGTGAGATGGGGATATTGTGAAGAAAGTTGCAGAGTTGAGTTCAATTTCTGTGGCATCTAGGTGTCTAAGCATCTTATCAAGCAAGAGACCATCCAAAGAGATGATGGAGAAAAGAGGAAAAGAACATATATGGTCTTATCAATGTTGCATCGATAACCTTTGAACTGGCACATAGATGTCGCATCTGCCAACACTCGCCTAGAAACTTGTCTCATCTTTGACACTAACTACAATGACCTTGTAATACTTTGCAATTGCTTCTACACTATGCTCTGAATATGTTCACACTCATTCTTTACTAAGCCCCACCTCCAGCAACCTTTTGTAATGCCTCAGTATATCAGGTGATGAGACTTTAAATTGGTGAACTTCTTCACTTTTATCAGCACCAGTCTTCCTCCTTGCTCTGCAATGATGAAGATTCTGATGTACTCAGTGACCTAGCTGAAGTTAATTGTTTTTTTTTCTGCAGTTACATCTGTCTATGCCATATTAACTATCTCAGAACTATAAAACTATCTAGAAAATAGGACATTTATAGATTACCACTTTTTTGGGCATATCCATGACTTTACTAATTTGGCCCAAAGCACTCGATCAATAAGCAACTATCTTCTATCACAATATTCAGCTAAATCTCATCTTGAAGTTCAAAAACACAGGAACAATTTGCTTGAGATAATCAATGAATATAGATTTATTTATCAATATAGGAATTCTGAGAGATTTATGGAGTACACTCTGAAGTCACTCAAGATGACACTCTTAGGTATGGCAAAGTCAGCCCTAGTCATGTCTTTCACCCATCTCATAATGATCTGGAGCTGGGCAGACTAGTTAATAAGGATGAGAGTGGATTTCAATACTAGTAATGCTTAAAGGCATAGTTAGTATTCAGTGAGTCAAAATCCTAGTAGAAAGAAGCAAGCATAATTCAGAATGTATTAACCGGCAACTATAAGTATATTTGTTTTAAACAATGCTAGTTTATTTTTGAGTAGAAAATAGGCACGAGTATGATGAAAGATGTTGTGTCAATAAGTTTCAAACTTGATCACTTATATATCTCTCACATTATACTCATGGAAAAGAAGCCATAAAATAGCTTCAATGACTGATTCTGAGTGATAGACTGATATCTGTTAGAACCAAAGTTTTCTTGCCAGGCATTTCAAGATATGAACTTTGAATGCATCAGGTTTTAGTCTCTTGAAAGGTTCAGACACCTTGGATCTCACATATGACTGAATATTTTATATTCTCAAGTGCTTTGTTTCTACTTATTAGTGCACTTCACCCCTCAGACTGATTAATTTCAAGTACTTATATTTGACTATTTATTGTATATATGTCGATTGGCTCGAATAATATTACAGCTTGATCATACCATGATCACTTTCTACTTACACAAAACTCAATGAATGCTTTATGCTTATGCAGCGGCATATATACCACTACTTGATTATACTTAGATCTTCCAATGCCTTCCATAACTTGACCCTACTAAGTAAACAATGCATTAGCTAGTTGATCAAGCAAAGTATCAGTGTGCCACTAATCATTAAGCCACTTCAATTATCAATCTTACATTGATTGCTTACATCTCAGAATTTCTTTGACAGCCATATTCAAGCTGCAGTTATAGAATGAATGGCATCAACTTGTAGTCTATGCATCAAACTTCTTCAAAATTACTGAGTATGCCAAGTATACATACTTCTGCTGTATACTAGGCTAAATTATATCAAAGACATCTGGCTATTCAAATGGAAAGATTGACTCAATTTAAATTATTGTTAGGATCTAGGAGAATGAGTGCTTCACTTCTGCAACTCATTCTTTTTCACTAGCCATGCCTGTTGAAGCTAATATTGCTTACTAGATAACTAACTCCTATTCATGGAAGCCAATAGAACTGTGCCTTAGAATAATATCTTAGAATATTGCATATTAGTTTGCTCTGCATTAGCAAGTTATCAGTTCTCAGTTGATTCAGTGAATATAGAATAAGGTGTGCCTCTATCTATTTATGCCAGCACGATTCTACAGATGCCCATTTCAAAATTTAGAAAATTATAGAAGATGATTCTCCTTCAATTGGGACTCTCAACTATTGCCAAACACCTCCTCTCTGAATTATCATCTCAAGCTAATTTGCCTTATCTCTTTTGGTAAAGAGAATTTCTCTCTTTCTGCTTTTCTTCTTTTCTGTCAAGTATCTTTCTGGCTAGT